AATCCACTCACCTCAGCCTCCCAAAGGCGTGGGATTATAGGCTGAGCCACCAAGCCCAGCGAATTGAACTTTCAAGCCAAAGATATTTCACTGCATGTACAAACGCATGCATCCATGGGGGATGTCGGAAGGTTGAGGAGGCTTCTTGGTTCAGCTGGAAAATGTGCCACAATTGATTAGCAATGTCTGCCATGGGCAAGGAGTGGGCAAATGGTGGTTGGCCTGGCATGCCTGGCATGCTCCAGTGAGGTATTACCTAAGGATGGTCAGCTGGATCTCAGAGCCTGGGGAATAATCCTCGTAGTGGATGATCTTGGCAAAGATCATCGGGGTTATAAAATTGGCCAGCGTGATCACAATAGACGGTAGGTACAAAATCAAGAGGTTCTCTCCAAAAACCATCTTGTCAATTTCCTAGGAAGATAACAACGTTTATTGGTCAGGAGTATAATAAGGGAAGTTGCAACACAAATGAATTGAACTGAAAAGACCTCAACTATGCGTGTCTGGCAAACAAACAAAACATATTTGTTAATCAACATAGCCTGCAGACATAAACTATCTCCTTTCTTAGGTGCTCACACAGAGGTATTTAGGTCCATGCTGAAAGAAAAATGAGCATTATTTAATTTGTCAGGGTGACACATCAAGAGAATCCATGTATTTTGTATAAATGGGCAATTTATTTTCAAGAAAGTAGTACTGATTGATTTGGAATAGCCATTCTCTTCTTTCATAGTTAGCAACATTTTAGCCATATAGATAGCTATCCAGAATATATATATATAGCTGCTGTTGTTGTTGTTCCTGGCCTCCCTTGTAGCTAGGTATAACCATGTGACTAAAACTGGTCAAAGGGATAGGAGTGGAAGTTTTTGGTGCAACCTCCAGGCCATGCCCTGCCAAGGAAGAGATGTGTCCTCCCTAGCCGCTTCACCGCCTTCCCTTTGGCTAGAATGTGGACGTGGTGGTAAGCTATCTTGTACCATACAAAAGAGGGCCACACCCTATGGATGCAGAGCCACAAGCTGGCTGGAACCTGGGCCCCTGATGACTGATCTCATGAAGCAGAGTCACTAGACCAACTCGGATTTTTAAAACCACTGCTATTTTAGGTAAATGGAGGCCCCAGCCAATAAGTAGAGGAGCAAGGGATAAAAACCTAGGCAGTCCAGGCTAGATTTGAATATTGCACACTTCACTTTAGAGGCCATTAACAATTTTTCTTAAAAGAGGAAACTGATCACCTCTAATTTTCAGTTATCTGTCATATCAGTTAATCTGACATCCCAAGTGTAAAACACATTTGATGATGGTATCTCCCTCACAGGCTTGCAACACACTTAGCATCACGCTTATCTTTACTTACCTTTTTCATGTGTTCTTGCGAGAAGATAGTCGCTATGTAGATTGCATAAAAGCACGCCCCTAAAACGGCCAGGACAACACAGTTTAGAAACAGTCTCAACAAGTAAATGCGTATCGTTTCCTCTGAGGTCCTTTCTGCTATTTTCTGCCGTATTCTTTCCTCCTCCAGATCTGCCTGAGGATCAAAGAAAACTCATTTGTGAGCGTGGGATGAAGGGACATTCAGGTAAGATTCCTTATCCTCACCCATCCATCTTGAAGACTGCTCTTAAATATGCATCTCCAAGCTGGGCTCGGTGGCTCAGCCTGTAATCCCGTGCCTTTGGGAGGCTGAGATGAGTGGATTGTCTGAGCCCACGGGTTCGAGACCCGCCTGGGCAGCAAGACCTCATCTCTACAATAAATCAAAAAATCAGTTGTGCATGGTACCACGTGCCTGTAATTCCGGCTGCTTGGAAGGCTGAGGCAGAAGGATCGCCGGAGCCCAGCAGGTTGAGGCTGCGGTGGCCGGGAGCGGCCACTGCACTCCAGTCTGGGCGACAGAGTGAGACTCCAACTCAAAAAATATAAATATATATTCATGTCCCCTAAGATATCTTCCCAGACTAAGCTCAAGTAGGTTTTTGGTTTTTGAGATGGGGTCTTGCTCTGTTGCCCAGGCTGGAGTGTAGTGGTGTAATCATAACTCACTTCATCCTTAAACTCGTGGGCTCAAACAATTCTCCCACCTCAGCCACCTGAATAGCTGGGAGTACAGGCGTGCACCACCATGCCTGCCTGGATAATTTTTTGGGGGGTAGAGACAAGGTCTTGCTATGGCACCCAGGCTGGTCTCCAACTCATGGCCTCAAGTGATCCTCCTGCCTCGACCTCCCAAAGCTGCTGTGTCTGGTCCAACTAGTTTTTATATCTACTTAAGGCCCAAGTCACGGTAGAACCTCCTGTTTAAGACTACAATCAGGTTTTGCAATTCTGTGAAAACAGATCTATAATCTATCCATGACATTATTTATATAGAGTATAAGTCATTTCTTCAAACAGCATGTAGGTGAGTATTGCTATTTTTCTTTTATCCAATATGGTGGTCTCTGCTTTTAATAGGAGAATCCAATCTGTTTATATTTAGTATAAGAAATAACACATTTGATTTGATTTCTTCTACCTTATTAAGCTTCTGGTTTACATGTCCCCCTTCCTTTTCTCTGATGGGTTTGATCAAGATGCTATCCATGACTCCTCTAATTCTATTAATTTGGACATTATCTCACACTTTTTCATACACTCTCCATTCTATCCTATAATCATAACATTCCCTCTTAGTCTCTTTTCTCATGGTGTAAAAGCAGTGTTTACGACAGGTTTTCATCAGGTAGAAAGGTCACAGGGGGTAGAGAGGAGACACCATCTCCTCTCAGCCACTGCGTGTCCCTACACCCCTTCCCAATGCCAGTTCACCAGTGCCTCTGATGGCTCCGAGACCATCAACCCCAGTAAGCAGTTCGCTGCAAAAAGCTCTTGTGACAGCCTGGCCCCCACCAAGATCCTCTGCAGACTGCAAACTCAGCCTCCCACGACATGGCCTTGCCCCTGAGGACCCTGCCTGGGAAAACCCAGTGGCACTCACTCGGAGCTCGTACCGCAGGCTGCTGTGCTTCAGGTTCGCTGTGCTGCGGTTGGTGATGCCGAAGTCCCAGCCTGCGAAGATCTTGTTGCAGTAGCTCTGGAAGTGCTCCTCGCTCCGGATCAAGTTGATTTTGAACCCTTCCACCGACCTGACCCCAAAACACAAATGTCCAACTTAGAATAACGACTGCAAAAGAGAGACCCGCGAATTGGTTTCATCTAAAATGTAAAAAGCTAGACAGGGTGCGTTTTCGGCCTGACATGGACAAGTTTTGGACCATTTGTAATATATGTGGCAGTGAACCAGGTTATCTCACAAGTGAAATAATTTTTTTTTAATCCATTGAATGCCTTGTACCACAGCTGGAATAAAATCCAAACTCTTCAGTACAGTCTAAAGATCTCGTGAGACTCAGCTCTGCCGTCTTTTCTCCCATGTAACTGCCCTTGGCAGTTCTCACTGCCAGCCTCAGAGTTCCCCCGACTCTTCCCATGGCTGGTTTCCTTCCTATCCTTCAGTTCAAATATGATCTCTCACTTCCCCATCTAAAGCTTCCATCTCCCACTGCAAGTCAGTCCCTTTTATTTCCTTCACAGCAACAGTCCTAATCATCAATGATCTTATTAATCTGTTGACCATCTGTAGCCCCTTCCTCTGATGACATTTTAAATTCCTTGAGGGCAGGTGTCCTATCTTGCCACCTTCACATCCAAAATGTCCGGATCATAATATGGTCCATATGAAACTGATGGAGAAATGAATGAATAGATGACTTAAGCAGTAAGTTAAACAAATGCTGAGCAAAATCACCTATTTAGGCCAGATCGAACTCTGATGCACATTTTTATTCATTCAAATGTTTCATGGAAAACATACACCCTGGCACTTGATGCTTTAAAATACCAAATGCCAGGCAGGAGCAGTGGCTCACACCTGTAATCCCAGCACTTTGGGAGGCAGAGGAGAGAGGATTGCCTGAGCCCATGGGTTCAAGACTAGTCTGGGCAACTTGGCAAGACCTCACCTCTACAGTAAATTAAAAAAAAAAAAATTAGTTCCAGCTACTTGGAAAGCTGAGGCAGAATGATCACCCGAGCACAGCAGGTCGAGGCTGCCATGAGCATGCCACTGCACTCCAGCCTGGGTGGCAGAGTGAGACTCCAATTCAAAAAATAAATTAAAATAAAATGAAACACCAGATGCCATACTTAGTCCTCTGTAGATGAAATAGGTTACTTTTATAATTTTCTAGAGGCGTGAAGTCAATATAAGTGGAAGCAATTGTTGCAATCAGCTATTCTGCCTAGAACCACCTGGGATGCTTTCCCAGAATGCAGATTCCCAAATAGTTTCCTACCCTGAAATTTTCAATTCAATAGGTCCCATGTGAGCTCCGGAAATATGCCATTTTATGAAGCACATGGTGACCTATCATAGCTGAAAACCTCTGCTTTAGACCAAACCTACATTTTGCAGCTCTTCGAAGAGGCTAATATTCAAAGAAGGGGAAAATATTTCCCTAGATCCAGAGAGTTGAATGGCAGAACTGGTGTTCACCTGATGGTGGTGGTAATTTTAATTTATAAATGTCTGTAAGGTGCTAAGGCACAGGGCTGAGGGCTCCAATCACCTGCCTTGTGTCTATCGGTCCTCCCAACAGCCCTTCCACATGTGCACATTTCACAGATGAAGAAAAGGAGGCTCAAAGAGGGGAAGTGATGCGCGAACCTTGGCCTCTGGACTCCAAAGCCCATGCTCATTGTCACTCTGTGGCTCTCCCTCCTTCCAGGGCCACAGCAGGTTTTCTCTTGTTACATCACACCCAGCCCTCCCTTCACGATCTTCCCCAGGAAGTGATAAAGACCCTGAGGTTGGAGAGCTTGAGCCAGCGGATTTGCTGTGTGGCCAATAAACCATATTCACTCTTCAGGGCCCCTTCCAGATCCCTGGGAGACTCTGGCAATACATTCATATGGTCTTTGTTTGCTTTTATCATTTACAAAAGATATTTTCATATTCTTTGTCTTTTATCTTTATCTTTTCTTTTCTTTTTTTTTTTGAGTCAAGGTCTCACTCTGTTGCCCAGGCCAGGCTGCAGTGGCACAGTCATGGCTCACCACAGCCTTGAACTCCTGGGCTCAGGCAATCCTCCTGCCTCAGTCTTCTGAGTAGCTAGGACTCAGGCACACATCACCACACCCAGCTAATTTTTTTTTTTTTGGTAGAGATGAGATCTCGCTATGTTGCCTAGGCTGGTCTCAAACTCCTGGCTCATGCAATTTTCCTACCTCGGTCACCCAAAGTGCTGGGACTACAGATGCAAGTTACAGTACCTGGCCTCATAGTCTCTGTCTCAAAGATAGCCCCTCCAAGTTGTCTACACTGCAGGCCCATAAAGATTGGATCTTCTGCCACGATCACAGAGCAGCCAAGCTAGAACCAACATTTCTCTACTGAACATCTCTCTGCCCCTCAAAAGGAGCCTCTGCTTATTCTCATCAGTATACCATCCACGGGTGGGGAATGGGCACACACCAGTTAATGTTCATCTCATTGGTTGTGACTCAGGATACAAGTGCCCAGCTGGGCTCTAAGGTTTCTTTAGTGGTGGCAAATCTTGGTCCTCATGGAGGGCAAAATCAGTCCCCAATACCCTGGTCTCTTCTGCACCTGTGATAAGAAACTTCACATCCCCATGACTTACAACACTGCACATGCTCTCACAGGGACAATCAAGTGGGCAAGAAAGGGGTCCATCCGTGACGCTCTATACCAAGCAATCCCCTGGGGCAGACAGGGATCTGCCCATTAAAAATTTGCAATTTGAGCTGGGCACAGTGGTTCATGCCCGTAATCAGAGCACTTCGGAAAGCTAAGGTGGGAGGATTGCTTGAAGCCAGGAGCTCGAGGCCAACATCCCATCTCTACAAAAAAATTTTTTTAAATAGTGGGGCATGGCAGCACACACCTGTAGTCTCAGCTACTGGGGAGGCTGAGGCAGGAGGATCACTTAAGCTCAGAAGTTGAAGACCAGCCTGGGCAACATAGGGAAACTCCATCTCTTAAAAAAAACCAAACAAACAAAAAAAAAACTGTGGCTAGTCTCTTTTAGTACAATGTCATTGCTGGAAAGTGGCTGCCCAACTAGGGGCAACATTTCCCAGCCTCCCTTGCAGTTAGCTTTGGTTGTGCGACTGAATTTTAGCCAATGGGAGGTGAGTGATATGCACCACTTTCACGTCTGGTCTATAAATACCTTCCATGTGGTACTTCCCCATGGCTGTTTTCCCTTCCCAGTCCTCAGCAGGACCTTCAAAGTTATGTGCTAAAGGCTGAACTTTGGTCAGCTTGAGTCCCAGAACACTACGAAAAGAATTCTACCACATTAACATGTGCTCCTACCCAGAACCGCCATGTAAAAAAAACACAACTTCTACTGTGGTTGGGTCCCCGTACCTTTTGGGACAGTTTTTTGTTTTGTTTTGTTTTTTTAAGGAATTAATCCTCCTCTCTTTTCTTGAGAATTCCTATCACTAAACCACTTAGCTACCCTGGAGAAAGCTATGTTGTCCTATGACCCTACCCCCTGGCCACGGTTGAAGGTTGGGAAGCTGAATGAAGCTTAGTCAACAAGTCTCTTCATAGGATTTCTGTACCTGTGACCCAGGGAGTCATTGGCTGATGACAACTATAAGATGCTCCACTTGGCACCATTTAAGGAAGCTGCTGACCTACAGCCATAGTTTTAAAACAGAAAAAAAAAGGGGGGCCAGGTGTGCTAGCTCACGCCTGTAATCCCAACACTTTGGGAGGCTGAGGTGGGAGGATTGCTTGAGCCCAGGAGTTCAGGACCAGCCTACACAACACAGAAAGACATTGTCTCTACAAAAAGTATATATTAAAAAATTAGCTGATCTTAGTTACTCAGGAGGCTGAGGTGAGAGGATCAACTGAGCCTAGGAAGTCAAGGCTGTGGTAAACTGTGGATTGTGCACTCCACCCTGGGTGACAGAGATATCCCAACTCAGAAAAAAAAGAAAAGAAAAGAAAAGAAGGAAGCTGCATTAAAAAAAATCAAAGACAAGGAAACCCTTGCATTTGATAACGTTCCTAGCCATAGCCGCCTCTTTGTCCCTCCTATAACTTGAGTTTCCTCCTTCCTTGGTTCTCTGAGTTACTCACTTCCCCTTTGTCCCAGTTAGCCAGAGTTGGGTGTCTTCCATTAATAACCCGTGGAGATTTAGTTAACATACACACCAGAGCAAAGAGAAGGTGTGCATAAGGGGTGAGATTGCCAGATGTGCTCAGTAATGACGGGGTGAGGAACTCCAGACCGATCCCGACTTGTTTCCTCCAGGTCTTCTCAGCTCACAAACCTTTTCCCACAGAGCCCAAGCCCAGACTCTGCTCATACTTTGGGCAATGGCCCCCAAGCTCCCAGACCTTCAACACAACCCAGCCTTCCAGGGTAATTCAGAGAGTACGCAGTGACAAGGCAGACTTTACCTTTTCACTATCCACAGAAGGCTCAGGGCTAGGTAGACAATTGTGCTTAACAAATAAGCCAGGGGCAGATCGTAAGTGAAGTTCTGAAATTTCACCCCATCAATGGTATAATGTCCATAAAAGAGGCCGGTCTCCTCCAAGAAACCCTGAAATAGAGTCAAGGGCACGATGTCAGACTGGTCAGCTCATTGCAGGGAACCGGAAGAACAGTCCTTGCGTCAAGGAACTCACATTTCAGTTCCTTGTTCATCCCTGAATCCATAGAGACCAGAATAGCCCCAGAGGTATAGCAGGTAATCAGCTAGTGTCGGGGAAATAAAGCACTGATAAAACCTCAGCATTAAAAATGCACAGGTACCAACCCAAAACTGAAATTAGGAACAAAATCCCATGTGCCATAGCACCAAGAAGAATAAAACACTTAGGACTAAATTTAACAAAACAAATACAATTTTTTAAAATTGTGTCGGAATCTCACTGTCACCCAGGCTGGAGTACAGTGGCACAATCACAGCTCACTGTAGCCTCAACCTCCTGGGCTCAAGTGATCCTCCAGCCTCAGACCCCTGGCCTTAATTCAGCCTTAAAAAGGAAGGAAATCCTGTCACAACATGGATTAACCTTGAGAACATTATGGTCAGTGAAATAATTCAGTCACAAAAGACAAATACTCTAAGCTTTCATTTATATATGAGGTATCAAAGTAGTCAAAGTTGGCCCTGTGCAGTGGCCCATGCCTGCAATCCCAGCATTCTGAAAGACTGAGGTGGGTGAATTGCTTGACCAGCAGTTCAAGACCAGCCTGGGCAACACAGCAAAACCTCATCTCTACAAAAAAAATAAAATAAATAAGCCAGGTGTGGTGTGCGTGCCTGGAGTCCCAGGGGGAATGATATAGCCTGAGCCCAGGAAGTCGAAGCTGCGGTGAGCCATGATTGTGCTACTGCACTCCACACTGGGTGACAAAGTGAGACCCCGACTCAATAAATAAATAGCCCATCAAATTCATAGAAACAGTTAAGTAGAATGATCGTTGCTAGGGACTGCCAGAAAGGAACAAAGGGGAATTGATGTTTAATAGGTAAAGAGCTTCAAATTTGCCAAGACGAACAGTGCTAGAGATCTGTTTCACAATACTGTGAATACATCTAACACTGCTGCATTGTACACTTAAAAATGGTTAAATGGTCAATTTTATGTTATGTGTTTTTACCACAACAAAAGTCCTCAAATTCTTTTTTTTTTTGGAAAGAGTCTCATATTCTTAGATTTGGCAATGGGCTCCTAATTATACCAAAAGCATAAGCAACAAAAGAAAAAATAAATTGAACTTTATTGAGATTAAACACTTTTGTGTTTCAAAGGATGTTAGCAAGTTATGAAGCCATGAAAAGACAATTCACAGGATTGGAGAAAATATCTGTAAACAATATATCTGATAAGGCATTTGTATCTAGAATATATAAATAATTCTTACAACTTAACAAGAAAAAGACAGATAATCTACTTTAAAAATGAGAAAAGGATCCAAATAGACATTTATCTAAAAGAAGATATGCAAGACTAGGTGCAGTGGCTCAGACCCATAATCCCAGCATTTTGGGAGGCCAAAACAAGTGGACTGCTTGAGCCCAGGAGTTTGAGATCAGCCTGTGCAACACAGCCAGACCTTGTCTCTACAACGACAATAACAAAAAAGTTAGCTGGGTGTGGAGGCATGCACCTGTAGTCCCAGCTACTTGGGAGGCTGAGGCAGAAGGATCACCCAAGCCTGGGAGGCCAAGATTATGGTGAGCCACGATTGTACTATTGCACTTCAACCTGGGCGAGTGACAGAGTAAGACCGCGACTCAAAAAAAAAAAAAAAAAAAGAAGATATATAAATGGCCAATAAACACTTGAAAAGCTGCACAACATTATTAGTCATTAGAAAAATGCAAATCAAAACCACAATGGGATACCACTTCACACAACCTAGCATAGTTGTCATTTAAAAGTGAGATAATAACAAGACAATATCTCCATGTTGGCAAGGACATGGAGAACTGGAGCTATCATGGGCTACTGGTGGGAATGTAAAATAATGTGGCCAATTTAGAATAGTCTGCAAAATTATTCCTCAAAAAGTTAGACATAGTGTTCCAATTCGACCCAGGATTCCACTCTTTAGGTATATACCCAAGGGAAATAAAAGCGTGTATCCATACAACAGCAGTATTATTCATAATAACCAAAAGATGGAAACAATTCATGTCCATCATAGGTGGATAAACAAAATGTGGTATAGAATACAATGGACTACTATTCAGCCATAAGAAGAAATGAAGTTCTGACGCATGCTACGACATGGATGAACCTTGGAAACATTATGTGAAGAGAAAGGAGTCCATCACAAAATACCATATGTTGTATAATTCCTTTTACATTAAATGTCCTAAACAGGCAACTTAGAGACAGAAAGACTAACAGTTTGCTTAGGGCTGGTTAGGTGGAGACAGAAGTAATAGCCAAAGGATATGGGTTTCTTTCTTTTTTTTTTTTTTTGAGTTGTTGTCTCACTTCATCGCCCAGGCTGGAGTGCAGTGGCACACTCACAGCCACCCCAGCATACTTGCTGGGCTCCAGTGATCCTTTGGCTTCAACCTTCCAAGTAGCCGGAACTAAAGGCACAGGCTACCATGCCTGGCTAATTTTTTATTTATTGTAGAGACGAGGTCTCGCCAAGTTGCCCAGGCTAGTCTCGAATTCGCAGGCTCAGACTTCCCAAAGTGCTGGGATTATAGGCTGAGCTACCAAGCCCGGCCAAGTTTCTTTTTAAGGTGATGAAAAGGTTCTAAAATTGACTGTGGAAATTGTTGCACAACTCTGAATACACTAAAAATCTTTATATTGTAAGTTTTAAATGGATGAATTGTATGGTACGTGAATCATATCTCAGTAAAGCTGTTATTTAAAAAATACAAAGGTACCCTTTGGGAAAAATAGCACAGAAAAGTCTCTGATTTTTTTTTTTAATTGGGGTCTCACCCTGTCAGGCAGGATGGAGTGCAGTGGTACAATTGCAGCTCACTGCAGTTTCAACTTCGTGGGCTCAGGTAATCCTTCCACCTCAGTCTTCCAAGCAGCTGGGAATACAGGTATGTGTCACCATGCCCAGTTAATTTTTAATTGTTTTTTTGTAGAGACGTGGTCTCACTATGTTGCTCAGGATGTTCTTGAACTCCTGGGCTCAAGTAATCCTCCTGCCTCGGCCTCCCAAAGTACTGGGATTATAGGTATTAAGCCACTGTACCGGGCCATGTCTCTGACTTCTTATTGAACAGAAGACCTCAATTATCTTCTTGAATGGCAGAGAAATTCCAGAAGCATGAAATAGAGAACAGATACATAGAAAACAGAAGCAGTAGAAGTAGTACACAGATGGTCCCTACAGCATTATTTATAAAGGGAGGAAAAGGGAGTAATTAGAATGTCCATCAATAGAGAACTTGCTAGATCATGAAAAATCCTTGTGATGAAATATTGAGCAAGATCATGTAAGGGCACAACAAAAACTCAAGAAGACTGTGAATCATGGTATTAAAGATTTGGTGAACTCTAGGAAGGGATTCTTTCACCTTTACTCTATAAATTCTATATTTTTCTTTTATTACTTGAGTAATTAAGTACATATTTTAATAGGAAAGAAAAAGTAGAAACAGAAGATTCTATATTCTCTTCAATGTTCCCAATGGCTGAGCATCAAGCCATAAAAACTTGTCCAACTATGTGAAACCTGTTTTATGTTGCCCCAGGTTGATATAAGGGCTATCAGTAATCTCTCCCTCAAAATAATACAACATGACAGGGAAAAGATCCACTGAGTCTGGAAAATAAATTTCCTGATTTGATAATGACCTTGACTCAATTGTTTCCAAAAAAAGACAAGCTCCCGATTGACCTCTCTGGCCCTCTTTCACTATTTAGGTTTAAATTATTAACAATCAAATTAAATTAAAATTCAGATTCTCAGCCATACCAGCCACATCTCAAGTGCCCAAGAGTTAACGGTTCTCATGTGATCCAGCACAGCTCTACAACATTCTCTAGAACACTGCAGAAAGTTCTTTTGGACAAGGAGGTTCTATATTATGCTTCCTTTATTAATTATTTATGATCAATTAATAAATTGATCATAAATTATAATCAATTCTTTAGCTTACATCCCCCAAGAGAAGTTTGTCTGTAAATCTTCACACACCATAATCTTCTTCCTTATAGGAAAGATTTTATAGACGAGACAGCCGACTCGTCTATAAAAGCCGACAAACTTCTCTTGGGGGATGTAAGCTAAAGAAAAGGGGCTAGCCTGGACAACATAGCGAAACTCTGTCTCTACAAAAAATTTAAAAGTTAGCCAGGCGTTGTGGTGTATACCTGTGGTCCCAACTACATGGGAGGGCTGAGATGGGAGGATGGATTGAGCCCAGAAGTTCGAGCTGCAGTGAGCCGTGATAATGCCACCTCACTCCAGGCTGGTTGAAAGAGCAAGACCTTATCTCTAAAAATAAAAATTTAAAAATTTGTAAAAAAGAAAAGAAAAAGAAAAGGTACTAACAGCAGCTCCTGGAATTTGATCCCAGTTTTGCTTTCAGTAAAAGTGTGACCTTGGGTGAGTTACTAAATTTCTTTCCTAATTTGCATAAGTCGACATTTGAACAGCTTTCATTTTCTCATTTGCATAGTGGTATTTGCTTAGCTTTCGTTTTCTCATTTGCATAGTGCACATTTGAACACCCACCCAACAATTCCTCTGCATTGTTTTCAGGAAAATATGAGATCGGAGATGAAAAAAGCACTTTTTCAAAATCAGATGCAGTGGACAATTTCAAGACTTTCTACCTATCTATTCAGAAAAGTGAAAGTTCATTGACATGGCATTTTAATACCAGTAACTTTCAAAAAGATATTTCTATTTATTTGTACTTCTCAAAGATCTGGAGCATTGGTTCTCAACCAGGGGCAATTTTGTTTCTCAGGGGACATGTGGCAGTGTCTGCAAACATCTTTGGTTGTCACAGTTGGAAGGAGGGGTGCTATGGGTATGTAGTGGGTGGAGGCCAGGGATGCAGCTCAACACAGCATGATCTGACCCAAATATAAGTAGTGCTGAGGTTGAGAAACCCTGATTTAGAGGGCGGGAATGGCCACTTTTCATAGCTGCAATCTTACCTGCCAAAAAAGTGGGATAAAAAAATGACAACATGACCAGACATGGTGGCTCACACCTATAATCCCAATGCTTTAGGAGGCCGAGGCAGGAGGATTGCTTGAGCCCAGGAGTTCAAGATGAGCCTAGACAACATAGTGAGAAATTGTCTTTATAAAAAGTGTTTTTTAAAAATTAGCTGGGTGTGGTGGCACAGGTCTGTAGTCCCAGCTACTCAGGAGGCTGAGGCAGAAGGTTCACCTGAACCCAGGAGGTTGAGGGTGTGGTGACCCATAATTGTGCCACAGCACTCCAGTCTGGGTGACAGAGTAAGACCCTGACTCAAAAAAAACAAAGAGAAAAGAAAAGAAAACACACAAAATCATTTTTTGAGAAGGTAATTAAAAATCTTTTAGAACCATTATAAGAACAAATGAAAATGTAAAATTTCATTTTATAGCAGGGGGTGTTAACCTGGCACTATGGGATTTCTGGGAATCGATGCACGTTAGTGCGCAAGGTGTGCATGTAATACATGTGAGTCTGTGCGTCACACACGTCTCCCTGGAAGGAAGAGCCATAGCTTTCAGCCACGCAGTCCAGGACCTCAAAACGTCAAGAGGTTTTTCAGTGTCAGAGAAATTTTAAAAATTCTATCTGGGTTCATTTCCACGGAAGCTTCTTTCTGGAGGGGAACTACATATTTTGTGGCAGATCAATATGAAGGGGGCGAGGACGAGGAGAAGGCCGTGGCTGAAGTGACAAAGTTCAATTTCCCGTCATTCCAGCAAGGGGTGGGGAACACAGTCTTTGCTGATGAAATGGCCACAAATCCTGTTTTTTGTTCTGTTTCTTGTGTCAGCTCTCATGCAGACATTCAGGACACTGATCTTGAAATCAACCAATTTTTAAAGCACTGAGGATCTAAACAGAGGATTATGTTAAATACTTACAGTGCCAGAAAGCAAGTCTATTATATAGCTGTAAAAGTAAATGAGTCCAGAGCTGCTGATTGGATATACTGTACATTGTATATCTGTAAAACAAAAACAAGAACACCAGTGGAAACAGTTTAACAGTCCCTGTACCTTGTCTGTTTATCACAATGTGTCTATAAAGCACCCACAGTCAAATCCCAATGTGTCAAGCCCAGTGGCAATTTCTTTTGTTTCTAGTATTTCCTTCACTATTCTCCCTAAATATCTGGGGATCTATGTTTTTTCTATACTATTTTTTTTTTTGAGTCAGGGTCTCACTCTGTCACCCAGGCTAGAGTGCAGTGGCATGATCATAGCTCACCGCAGCCTCTAACTCCTGGGCTTAAGCAATCAAGCTCCTATGTCAGCTCTTGAGTAGCTGGGACTATAGGCATATGCCACCACACTCAGCTAATTTTTTTTTTTTTTTGCAGAGAGGAGTTCTCACTATGTTGACTAGGCTGGTCTCAAACTCCTGGGTTCAAGCAATCCTCCCACCTCCACCTCTCAATGTGCTGGAATTTTATGCACAAGCCACCATGCCTGGCCTTTCCTCTGCATTTTTTATGTGGGTCCACACACAGAACTTTTTTCTCCTTGTATGTGTGTTTTGTGTTTTTGTGATCATGTTAGCACATTTTGGGATATATGATATAATTTTATCCCACTTTAAGCATATCTAATATAAAAGATCACTACATGTATGTAAAGAAACATGTGACTTCATTCAAGAAAATATATGCATACATTTACATATGTGTAATTATCCAGGGCATTGGGTTTTTTTAGTCAGATCTCACTCTGTCACCTAGGCTGGAGTACAGTGGCACAATTATGGCGACCGCATCCTCAACTTCCTGGGCTCAGGTGATCCTTCTGCCTCAGCTTTCCAGGTAGCCAAACTACAAGTGCATGCCACCACACCTGGCTAATTTTTTTTTAATTATAGAGACGAGGGCTCACCAAGTTACCCAGGCTGGTCTTGAACCCCTGGGTTCAACCAATCCTCTTGCCTCTGCCTCCCAAAGTGCTGGGATTATAGGTGGAAGCCACCACACCCGGTGACCAGGATATTTTTTGAACATCAATTTTAGTGACTCTGCCTTATGCTTGAGCTAATTCACTGCCTCTCTGTATCAGACAGCTATGGTTGTCAACATATGGTTGTCAAACAACCTCAACATCTCAGTAACTTAAAACCCCAAGCATTTATTTTCTCACTTGTGGGTTTGCAGTGTAAGTTCATTCAGCTGATTTAGGCTGAGCAAGGAGGGACTCCGGGCTTCCAGTTGAGCTCCCATTCCCAAACAGTTGAGGTCTGTTCCACATGACTTCATTTTGGGGCCAGGGCTGAAGGGATAATGGCTCCCTGGGGAAAGTTCTTCCCATGGCAGATCACAGGGGCACAATGAGGCAAGCCAACCTCACCGAGATATTTCAAACCAGCACTTCACTAGACAAAACAAGTCACATGTCCAAACTCAATACAAGGCAAGATGCATTCCCTATGCACAGTGGGAAGTCCTGCAAAGTCACAACTACAGGGGAGTGACAAAATGGGGAAAATTACTCAATCGACCACCCCTTCTCTGGGTCTTGATTTCTGCTTTGTTAAAATAAGGGAGTTGAACCAGTTCCTCCAACGCCATTTCCAGCTCTGCCATTTGATAATTCTAACATGCATGTGTTCATTTGGTCACTCAACAAGCATTTCTTCATCACTACGCACCAGGTGGAGGTGGGGATAAAAAGATAAATAAGAAGCAGTTTCTTGAAAAGCTCACCATCAAATGGCAGAGAAAGACAAGGACAGTTAGGTTTATATAAAGGTTTATACAAAGCGCTCAAATGGATGCATGAAGACAGTGTTTTAGACAGAGGAGAGAAGCAGTCATCCCCTTTCAGGAGGAGTCAGGAAGCCTGCCATTCCACTCCTTATTCACTGTCCTCTAGCCTACAAGTCAGCAAACTGTGGGCCAAAGCTCTCCAGCAGCCTGTTTTTGTTAATAAACTTTTATTGGTACACAGCCCAGACCCATTGTCTATGGCTACTCTTGCGCTACAATGGCAGTTGAACAGTTGCAACAGAGACCTACATGGCCTACAAAGTCTAAAATATTTACTATCCAGATCTTTACAGGAAACACTTGCTGACCGGCCACACCTGACTTTTAGTTTCTCTAGTTGACTAAATTATTGCTCAGCCTGGGACATTCGCAGATGTTATCCCTCTGCTTGAAGATGCTTCATCTAGCTCCTCCATGGCTGTCTTCTCCTCACCCTTCTGGGCTCAGCTTAAATGTCCCTGCCTTCATTCAGACAGGGCTCTGGGGACCTCTCACCCTCAACTGTCCTGGTGTTCAACCTCACAGCACCTGGACTTCCCTTTCCCTCATAGACAAATTCATCATTAAATATTTGTATTGTGTGTCTACTTCCTTCACATCCATCTTTTGCGAGAGCACGTTAAAGTCATGAGTGCAGATGAGTTGCTTCCTGTTGTGCTCCAGGAGCGAGCTTGGGGTCCAGCACACAGTAGTTGCTCAATAAATATTTGCTGAAGCAATAAAGAAGCAAAGGAAGGCAAGAAGAGGAAAGGAGGGATTTCTTTGGGGAAAAGTGACGAGGCAAGTTACAAAGTATGTGCAGGGAGAGGATATGATCAAGAAAGACAATGATGAGAAGGAAGAGCTGGGAGGTGACCACAGCTGTACGTACTTAGTTTGGGCTCCATTTTCTGCAGGAGGGCCGCCTCCCTGACTCAGGTCAAGTTCCTGACTATACCGTCAGCCAAGACCTAGAATCAAGTTTCCTAGTAAAGAAAGCATTATAGCAATGCACACAGTAAAAACAACATGCTTGCCAGTAAACCAGGCCTTAGACTCACCCATGTCTTTGAATGGAATAAGCACAAAGCTGCTATTGGTGATCTTGAATTTGGTAAGCAAGACTGGGAGCAAAACCAGTGTAAAGATGATCAGAAATATCACCAAATTCAGCAACACCAGGAATCGCAAGAAGGAGAAATAGGACTGAATCCCAGTGCCAAATTTCCCTGGAAAAAAAGAAATCCAGACATCATTGACCAGGAGTGTTGATCCACTACACATTTTAGATTCAATCAGCCACAGAACGCTGAAGTTTGAGGGATCTTGGTGTGAGGAGGAAGGAAGAAACATTTTGTTTTTCCTACTGTTGGCTTTAAGACTTCACTTCCTAGTGGCTTAAATTTTCACATGGAGATCTAAAATCAGTCTTGAGTTACACATTTGAGAATGGTATGAGGAAGGGTTCAGTAGTTATCTCTTCTCGTATGAGTATCTAGTTGACTCAGCACCACTTATTGATTGCCTTTTCTGAAAATCACCTGATCATATATGTATGAATTGGTTTCTGATTGCTATCCTGTTCTATGAGTCTACTTGTCTATTCTTGTACCAATACTAGGCTGTCTTAATTATTGCAGATTTAAAATAAGACTTGATAGATAGTACTAACTGTATGTCTTTCAGCTTTGTTCTTCCTCAAAATTGTCCTAGGTACTTTTTGTCTTTTGCATTAATAGACAAATGTTAGAATCAATGTATTAATTTTCATACACACACACACACACACACACAATCTGCTGAGATTCTGATTGGGATTTTATGAAATATGTAGGTCAATTGAGGAGATGTGATATCTTTATGCTATTGAATCTTCTAATCCATGAAGATGGTATATGTATGTCTTTTTTTGGTTTCTCTCAATAATATTTCATATTTTTTGTGTAGAATTATTGCACATCTTTAGGTATAGTCCCAGGTATTTGACATTTGTTATGGCATTGTAAATTGCATCATTTAAAAAATTTCATTTTCTAAATGTTGCTGGTATAGAGAAATATAGGTTTATATGAGGGAGACCCAAACAAAATGGAATTATTTTTTGGAGGGTAGGTCCCTTGTAGTACAGTCATCCCCCCCTCCAGGCAAGTGTTCTAGAAACATACTGGCGTCAGCATGCCAACTAGTGTTGTTGTGAAAGGCTTCATTTAGCTTCAGTGAATTTTATTTTTGGAGAGTCTTTCACTGTGTTTGCCCATTTCATGATGGGTGATTTACGAGCACACCTACCCAACCATGCTAAGGGTTCAGCGTTTCTGACCCAAAATGGCATGGCCCCTGTGCCCCACCTGATCTTGCCCTGAGTGACTTTTTTTGTTTCCCCAGATGAAAAAGTCCTCAAAGGGAAACATTTTGCTGATGTGGAAGAGGTGAAACAAAAAACAGCAGAAGCACTAAAAGACATCAAAACAGACGAGTTCAAAAACTGTGTTTGGCAGTTGGAAAAGTGTCTCAGCAGGTGCATTGCATCAAATTAAGACTATTTTGAAGGTGACTGAAGTTTAAACAGGTAAGAATAAATATAAATTCTTAATAAGTAAATTATATTTTGGGGGGTTCCCCCCTCATATATAGATAGATCTTGTTAAGTTAATATATTAATTCTAATAGTTGTCTTAATTTTCTATATACATATGTCATTTGAATAAAAATGACATTTTATTTCACCCCTCTCTATTATTATCCCCTTTTCCCCATGGCATTGGCTGGGATTTCCAGGAAGATGCTGTACAGAATCTGGGATAATTAGCACCTTTTTCTCACTCTCAATCTCAGGAGAAAAGTTTCCAATATTTCACCATTAAGTAGGATGTTTGCTATAGAATTTTTTTTGTTTTTTGAGATGCACTCTCACTCTGTCGCCCAGGCTGGAGGTCATGGCCACCTCCAAGTTGCCTGGATTGGTCTCAACCCTCGGGCTCAGGCAATCCACTCTCCTCAGTCTCCCAAAGTGGTGGGATTACAGGCTAAGCCACCAAATTGGGCCTGCAATGGAATTTTTATAGATTTTTTTTTCAGATTAAGGAAGATTCCATCTATTACTTATTTGTTAGGAATGAGAACTAAAACTTGTGTTTTGTTTTGTTTTTAGAGATAGGGTCTTGCTCTGTTGCCCAGGATAGAATACAGCTCATAGCTCACTGTAACTTCAGACTCCTAGGCTCAAATGATCCTTCCGCCTTAGCCTCCCAAGTAGCTGGGACTACAGGTAGGTGCCACCATGATTGGCTAATTTCTTTTATTTTTGTAAAGACAAGGTCTCACTACATTGTCCACATTGGTCTCAAACTTCTTGGCTCAAGCAATCCTCCTGCCTCGACCTCCCAAAGTGCTGGGATTATGGGCATGAGCCACTATGCCTGACCAAGAACTGACATTTATCAATACCTCTGCATCTAATAGGATGATCATAAAATTGTACTCCTTGATTCAGTTATTTAGATGAATTACACTGATTGATTCTCAAATAGAAAACCACCCTAGCCGGGCTCGGTGGCTCAGCTTATAATCCCGCGCCTTTGGGAGGCTGAGGTGAGTGGATTGCCTGAGCCCGCGGGTTCGTGACCCGCCTGGGCAACTTGGTGAGACCTCATCTCTACAATAAAAACCAAAAATTAGCCGGGCGTGGTAGCGTGCACCTGTAGTTCCAGCTACTTGGAAGGCTGAGGCGGAAGGATCGCCGGAGCCCAGCAGGTCGAGGCTTCGGCGGCTGGGAGCGGCCACTGCACTCCAGTCTGGGTGACAGAGTGAGACTCCAACTCAAAAAAAAAGAAAAGAAAACCATCCTTCCACTAGTTGATTAAATTGCTGAGGAGAGGCAGAAAGTATTCCAAAGAGCAAGGGTGTCTGCTTGTTCTTGGTGGGGGCAAAGTACTTATCTTCAGAGACAAAGATCTAAGACAGCCACAGTCTTTTGCCTCTCTCGAATACTCAGCAACCTCCCAGAGGCAAGGAGTGTTCTTATCACACTGGCACTTCATGCCCAGAGGATCACCTAGCCAGCCAAGAAATCACAGGCCTAGAGTAACTGAAAAGAAAATCAAAGTCCCAGTTCCTGGGGAGAACCTACTTTCCATATCACACAAGCCACTTGCTGAATGAAAATCTCCATAAGGTCACCACTTAACAAAAAAGGAAGCTGGGCATAGTAGCTAAAACCTTGGACTCTGAATTTTGAATGCCTGGGTTCAAATGCCAATTCTGTTTCATCCTAGCTGAGTGAACTTGGGCAAGATCTTAACCTCTCTGAACCAATGATAAGTACCTGTATTAAAGGTTCTTGTGAGGATTAACTGAAGTCATATGAGTAAAATGCTTAACACAATGCCTGGTTCATTGTCAATGCTCAATAAATGTTAGCTTTTACTATTTTGCTCAAAACATGATGTTACACTTAAATCTCAAGAGGAAAAGTATGAGTGCATGGTTGAAGTTTTAATTTTAAGTGCACCATGAAACCACTTAGAAATATGCTATGTTCAGGCCAGACATGGTGGCTCAGGGCCAGATGCAACGGCTGATGCCTGCAGGTCACACTTTGGGAGGTCGAGGCAGGAGGACTGCTTGAGCTCAGGAGTTCAAGATTAGCCTAGGCAACATAAGGAGACCTCAGCTCTCCAAAAAAGCAAAAAATTAGCTGGGCATGGTGGCATGCACCTGTAGTCCCAGCTACTTGGAAGGGTGAGGAGGGAGGATTACTCGAGCCTAGGAGGTCAAGGTTGCAGTGAGCTGTGATCATGCCAATGCCCTCCAGACAAGTAAGTAAGTGTCCAGTAAGACTCTGACTCAAAAAAAAAAAAAAAGAAATGTTATATTCTCCAAATAAAATAATTTAATAAGGTAATTCATTGAATAGATTACCAATGTTATTTTACAGATCTTTAAATAGTAATGATGGAAACAACCATTTCTTCTATTTATCCTGCCACCTTCCTTATAAATTTCACAAAATTCTTACTTTAGCCCCTTTGAGGAGATGCTTGAAATATGTTTTACTTTATGGTAGAAAATATAATCTTAAGAGTTCCCTCTGGTACTGCTGTGCCACTCAAATATTTAATGTTTCCTTCTAATTTTCTATTTTGGCACAACTTCCAGTTTTTGTATACTTGCTGTGAATCAAATTCCTATCCCCAAATTTATACATGGAAGCCCTAATGTTATGGTATTTAGAGATGTGTCTTTGGGAGCTGATCAGAGTTAGATGAGGTCATGAGGGTGGGGTTTTCATGATGGGATTAGTGTCCTTATAAGAAAGTTTTCCCTCACTTCCCCCACACACACAAAGAAGAGGTGATGTGAACATGCAGTGTGAAAGCTTGTTTCAGCCTTCAGAGCTGTGAGGAGAAAATTTTGATTTTTTTTTTTTTTGAGTTGGAGTCTCACTCTGTCACCCAGACTGGAGTGCAGTGGCCGCTTCCGGCCACCACAGCTTTGACCTGCTGGGCTCTGGCGATCCTTCCGCCTCAGCCTTCCAAGTAGCTGGAATTACAGGCATGCGCTACCACGCCTGGCTGATTTTTTGATTAATTGTACAGATGAGGTCTCGCTGCCCAGGCGGGTCTCGAACCCGTGGGCTCAAGCAATCCACTCACCTCAGCCTCCCAAAGGCGTGGGATTACAGGCTGAGCCACCAAGCCTGGCTAGAAAATTTTGATTTTTAAGCCACCCAGTCTATGATATTTTTAGCCTGAGTAGACTAATACACTACAACTAGTTCCCAAATTCTCACCAATACTAAGGGATTCTTAGTATTTCCAGGGTCATGGGAACCCTTTGATAGTCTGGTGAAGTTCATGAACCCCATCTCAGGATAGTGTTTTGTTGGTTTGTTTTTGAGTTGGGGTCACACTGGTTTGTTTTGAGTTGGGGTGGCATGATCATAGCTCACTGCGGTCTTGACCTCCTGGGATCAGGTGATCCTTCTGCCTCAGCCTCCTGAGTAGCTGGGGCTACAGGCATGCACTACCTAGAGCTCTGGTTAAATTTTTTTTTTTTGTAAAGATGAGGTCTCACTGTGTTTCCTAGGATGGTCTTAAACTCCTGGGCTCAAGTACTTCTCCTACCTAGGCCTCCCAAAGGGCTGAGATTACAAGCGTGAACCACCACACCTAGCCAAGGATAATGTTTTCGAATGCATAAAATACAAAGCTACAGTTATCACAA